CCTTATTTGCAATAACTAGTATATGTCTAGGACAAGCAGAAAAGGTCAAAAGTTATGTAAGATGATATTAAGTGAAATGACTCCCAAGATAAGGACACAAATATGTTTTTTCCTTCTTGCTATTGTTTTTAATATATTTATAATGACTATGTGATTTTTTGTTTCTTTGTATGTTCCTCCCCCCACAGTTTAATCTCTGTTTTCACTGTATTTCATTCTGGTGCCCTGCATCTTGTATATACACTTCTCTAATTTGGGGAGGGGAGGGGGAAAAAGCAAAATGCTCAAATAGGGATACAGATTGACCCATTGTAACAATGATATGTACAAGACACCATGTTGAAAACAAACTTTACAACTTCTGTGAGGGGGCAGGTGGGAATAGTTGTAGAGGTGGGAGGGGAGGGAGGGGATGGTAGGGGAAAAACAAAGGAGGAGACAACAATGCTCAATAGGAAATGTACTCACTACCTTGCTCATGTAACTGTAACCCCTCTGTACAGTATTTTTACAATTAAAAAACATAAAAAATAAAATAAAATAGCATCCAAGAGATTAAGAAAGGAGCTACTTATTTTTTTAAATTTTTTATAACCTGCATGCCATTGCAGTTAAGTTAGCCTAAGTCTGGGAAACTTCCCAAAGGAGATAAATTAGAAGAAGACCAAGGTGAGAGGTCTTTAATCACATGTGATGAGGAATATTTTCTTCTTACAACTGTATTACAAAGTAGCTGAGACATGACTGAATCTCTGAAGTTGTCATTAAAATGAAGGATTATGCTGGAGGAGTGGGAAGGTGCAAACAGTGCTGAAAAGACAGCTGAGGATGAACTCTGGAGAGTTTTGTAAAGATTCCCAAAGGAATATACTGCTGAAAACTCAGCAGGACTACGTATTACATCCAAGACCACAGATTTCAGGGGGCTGAGAGCTCCACTCTGAGCAAAAACGCCTTAGCACTTCATTATTGCTTTAAAGTTTTCATCTGGCTACTTAAGTACGGGGGGGTACTTCTGTTTAAAAATTTTATTGTGTGAATACCATTTGCCATCTGCTTTGTAATACCTTTTGTAAAGATTTTGTGGTTCTCCACGGTTTTTAATTTTTAAGTTATCTCAATACTGTAGAGAAATACCAACATATTACAGTTCAGTTTTTATATGCAATATTAAAGAATATTCACATTCCTCATCAAACATAAAGCCAAATCTAGGTATTGTTGAATGACCCACATAGAACTCCTCCTGGTTGCCGGGCTCTGGAGGCTCATGGTTGTAATCCTAGCTACTCAGGAGGCTGAGATCTGAGGATCATGGTTCAAAGCCAGCCCTGATAGGAAAGTCTGTGAGACTCTTATCTCCAATAAACCACCAGAAATCCAGAAGTGGCACTGTGGCTCAAGTGATAGAACACTAGCCTTGAGCTAGAGAACTGAGAGACAGCTCCCAGGCCCAGAGTACAAGCTCCATGACTAACAAAAATATGACTAAAAACAAACAGACAAACAAAAAAACCTCCTGGTCAAGGTTGTGTCAAGTTTGTATCAGAAACTAGTACCAGAAAAATATTATGAAGTACAACTACTTTACTTCCTGTTAAAGATAGTAATAATGTTGTATTGTTGAAACCTTATAGAACTTCTATAGTTCTCTATTTTTTGTTAAAAACATATCTCTACTTGGAAGAGACTATGAAGTACTTATATTGTAGGAAGTACTAACTTTTATTGCTCAACATTATATTTAGTGTTTTTGCTAGAGTTTATAATATCAAAAAGGATCTATGACAACCATACAGATTATTCTCACTCGTTTCACCAGCTGTCACATCAAGATGTCAGCAAGGATAACAACTTTAGTTTTTGTCCTTTTCTTTCTTCACAATTCTAAAAGGGAAGAGGTAACTTCTAAAGGAGGAGTTGGTATATGTGATTTTATTAGTTCATTTATCAATGTATGTGTTTTTCCAATACGTATTTGCAAAATATATATTGCTTCATGCATCATGTTAGAGCTAAGATCATAGAAATGAACAAACCAGAAACTACTGAAGCACTGGGCAGTTGCAAAACCTTCAATCAGAAGAGGGCTGCAATATCACAATGAGCTTACATCTTATCCGCATGCATAATTGGCATCCCAGGAAATATGATACAGCCCAATGTCTTACATTTGTAATAAACACACTTAGAGAGTGCCTGCCCCTCAGTAACCATGCAAAGCTTTGGTTTAGTGATAGTCCTCTTGTCTCTATTTCTCTGTGGCCTTTGAGTTTGATCTCTTTCTTTCATTTTGGACAATAGGTTAACTTGAATCACATGTATGAACTGGCTGCATCTTACTGAACTGTGCCCCCAAATTAATTGAGTAGTTAAATATTTTCCCTTGCATATAGAACTAAGTTAATGAATCGATACTAAAGAAAATAGAGTACAACAAAACCCAAAGAGGCAGCCAAGCAAATTATGGACTAGGAACAGACTCCCAGGTTTATATCTTGGGAAAAGCAAGTCTAAATTTTGAGTCTGGAATTTGACTCTAGTGACACAAGACTGAGAACAGAATATTGACTGGCAATTCTTGTAGTAGTAAACACAGACTTCATTTTGTGGTGGGCTGGAGAAGGATACTCAAATGTGCTTAAGTTACCTTCAAAAACATAGATTCAGTAGATATGAATGGAGCCCACTGTAGTGTTCTCATATGATTATCCTGGCAGTGGTCAGATTTTTGTCATACAGCTTCAGTCTTTCAGAAACTGATGTTTTGCCCTTCAGGATAAAGAAACAAAAAGGAAATAGCAAAATTCCTTGCATTGGAAGTAGTGTTATGGCTCAAAGTGGTAAAGCATGAGCTTTGAACAAAAGAGCTCAGGGACAGTGCCAGACCCTGAGTTCATGAGTTCCAGCCTCACTACCGACAAAACAAAAACAAAACAAAACAAACCTTACATCTTTATGTTCTAAACTTATTTTTTCTAATTTTTCACTGTGCTTACTGACTTCTGGTAGACATATAAATCCAATACACTTATGGTTTAATACTTTAAAATATTTTGCTCATATTTCTTCTATACATAAACATCAAAACAATAATAGATTATTTAACAATTAGATAACATTTGATTATTGAATTTGATTACATTATGTACTTGTTTTCAAGGCAGGTATTTTGGAGATAACATTTTTAAAAACTGTATTATCAAGTAAAAGGAGGATTTAAAAATAACATTTTCATACTAAAAATGAGTTCAATCCTAATATATTTGTCTTTACATTGTTTACAATAATATATTTTTTCTCTTTTGGTTGGTTTCACTGTATAATCACAAATGTAGTCATTTCATTCTTATAGAGCATATCACAGGCCCCACTTAGGTTAGTTCATATTTGATTTGGTTCTTACTTTATAATTCAAGTTTATTTGAAAAATTCTTTTTTTGTAAAAATAAGGAGTTACTCCTCTACATTTCAGTGGTTATCACAGACACACTTGAGCCTAGCTTATCTTTATCAGAGAGAATAGGATAACTTATAGAAAACAGATATTGTATTAGTGTACTAATGTTAAGTACATGAAATGAGATGAGCTACAAGAAAATTTATAAAATCAAATTATAAGAATTTACATCGTGAAGTTAACTGTTATTTTTGTAAGGTTATATCCAGAAGCTCAAACTAATATATCGACTGTCATCTTAGAAGTCTAGTTCATCTCCATCTACAACTTGATAACAGGTGGATAGATGAAAAAGTAATCCCAGTTCTGAATATTCTAAATTCAAGTTTTTAATTATCAAGGTCATAGAGCTGGGAGGATAGCCTGTGCAATATCTTAATACAGGCCCAGGCAAGGAAACATACAGGGAAAATTAATTGACATAGATTTTAGATGTGGAAGGTCATAACTAAATTTTGTTTTGTTTGATTCACTATAATTGAATTCTCTTATTAGTTGTCCACCTTCTATATAATTCTAATAGTTCTTATAAGACAGTAACATAAAGAATAAAATCTCATTGACTACTGTAAACATGCCATTAAATGGAAACATTTTTTTCATTTCTTTTTTTTTTTTTGGTTTTCACTAAAATTCAATATTCCAAGTCCTGTACAAAGTGTCCTGGCTCTTCAAATTCACATAGGCCCAATATTCCTTTGCCCTACCTCTAATAATCAGGATTCTTACGTCCAATGATTCTCTGATTAACTGAATAAAAATTCTCTTCTTGAAGAAAGAAATCTTTATTTCAAATCTCATTCACTTGAGGACATTCTTTCATCAGTGAACATCTTTATATTTTTAATCTTCTATTATTTTCAGTCAACAGAATACTTTCCCTGGAGCACTAAAAAATAAGGATAATTTAGCTTTTTTATAACCACTTAACTCTTAGATTTTAAAGTCATTAAGGTTGTTTTCTTAGAGACATAGTGGTGATTTACATATAATGTTTACAGTGTTACATTTTTGGCAACCATAATAGTTTTGGAATTAGAAATATGGCAATGATTTTGTAAAGCTGTATACTTTTAGCAAGCCATCTGGCATGAAACCTTGAGTATGAAATTTCCCCCAAAGAAAAATAACATTTAGTTAGGTTAAGTGTCAAGTTGCAAGCTCATACTGTATAAAAGTCAATATGTACCAAGTCATATTAGTGAATTCCATCTACACTGCTGGGAGGTTGTTGAACTCAATTATAGAAATGTGCAGTACTCTATTGGATGTGTGAGGAGGTTAGGAGACCACAATCAATTAAAAAGAACACATGTATATCCTGTTCTGGGGATATAGTTATTATAGTATCCCTTGTTTTGCTTCTGCTTATTTTTTCCCCTAAAATTTCCTCTGAAAATAGGAGAACAAAGAGTTTAATAATTTCCCTGTTTCGTTTGGAATTATTTTGTCAACAGTATCATACAAAGTCATGAGATTATTGTTTTACATAAATGAAGCCTCAGGTAGTTATGACTAAACATGTTGTAATTTTTTGTAGCAAAACCATTTGAAAATGGACAATATTTGGACATTTATGGAATTACGAGGGACCAGGCTGGGGAATATGAATGCAGTGCAGAAAATGATGTGTCATTCCCAGATGTGAAGAAAGTAAAAGTTGTCGTGAACTGTAAGTCTCACCACTATTTATTCAGATAAATTTTGGGAAAACATTAAAGCCTGTGAAAATGTTGTCTGAAATTGGTATTACTGTAATAAGTGGTGTATTGGCAAATATCACCTGCTGACAGTGAAAACATGTTTTTCAAAATATTGATCAAATTGGTGGCTTGGAATGTGGCTCAGTAGTAGAGTGCCTGCTAGCATGCATGAACCCTTGGATTCAATTCCTCAGTACCACATAAACAGAAAAAGCTGGAAGTGGTGCTGTGGGTCAAGTGATAGAGTGTTAGCCTTGAGCAAAAAATAAGCTCAGGGACAGTGCCCAGGCCCTGAGTTCAAGCTCCAGGACTGGCAAAAACAAAATATTGATTAAATTGTTTTATAGAGAAGAAACCATCTCAACTGATCCTCTAGTAATGCAGTTTGATGCCTAACACCATCCCCAGTATTCTAAATTCTGCTGTGTTCTGCAGTATTCTAAATTCCCCTTCCAAGTGGGTTGACCTTGTAGGGTATTTGGATTAAGAAGGAGTGTGGAACATTCTCAATCACACCTGATGGAGCTAAAATGTGATATTTTTCTTCAAAGAGTTGTATTGTGGTGCTTACATTACTTGTGTGATTAATTTAATTCTATTTTCTTGGGAAAGTATTGAGAAAATTGAGAAATAATTTCCCCATGAACATCATTCTGATGAAGTTAGGATATGTGAGTCAAAATGCCATTATGTAGCATTTTCTCTAAATTCCCCCTACAGTAAAATTACATACATTTTAATAGCACTCTACTATATATCTCAACACCAATGACTATTTCTTTTAAAAATGTGTACTTAATCTTTCTTTCAAAAAATCACACCATTAACTTCTTCAAATAAAATACCCTTGAGTTAACAAAAATTTGGCAAAATTATAAGATAAAAACTTCACTTTTGCTCATTTTACTTGTCTATATTTTCTAGATGGTCTTTGGTAGCAAAATTTATATAGTAGTATACCACAGATCAGATAAATGATTCTAAATATATCCAGGAATGCTGAAATTAATTTTCAGTTGTTTGATATTAATGTGTCTTTCAGTCTCATGAGCCAAAAGTTTACTCTCAAAATTCTCCTGGCAGCTGAGCTGTTTGTCAGAGCAAATCCTTTGTATCAACTGAGAGTGTATGGCTAGTCCATATAGTCCTGTTGAACTATCAGACAGCGCCGATGTGCATGATACTAGATCAGGAGCCAGTCCTTGAAGCTGAATTTCTCAGAGTGCTAATCAGAAAAACCACTGAAGAATCAACCAAGAAACTTATTAAATTGAGAAATATCTGGATTCCCCATCAGCCCTACTGAATATATGACTTAGATTTTTTTGTATTTTGACACATTTCCAGATTTCTCAGCATGTTTTTGTTGCAAAGGTTTACTTACCAAAATTTCTGAATATTTTATGACTGATAATACTTATTGGAACATATATGTAGTTATTGAAGGGTTTAAAGGTTGAGAAAGAAGAAACAAGAATTGGCAATGAGAAGTGAGCAGTAAAAGGTAGATTCAAAACCACTAAATAAGTCAGATACCCAGCCCCAGCAATACAGTCTACATAAAATTCCAGACACATGGGTCTATTAAAGAATGTCTGATTGGAATGAAATGAAAAAAACAGGTTTTCATGGGCTGCTGTACAGGTTTTCATGGGCTCCATGCTCCATGTATAATCTCCACTTCTCTTTGTTTTAGTGAAGTCCTTTCATCTCTCTGACTTTAGTTCATTGCCATTTATTTGATTTGATTCTGTTTTTTATTCTTTTTAATATATATTTTTATTGTAAAGATACTGCACAAAGGGGTTACAGTTACATGAGTAAGGTAATAAATACACTTCTTATGAAGCATTGTTACTTCCTCCTTTGTTTTTCCCTCACCATCCCTTCCCTTCCCACCTTCCCAACTTCTCCCTCCCCCCACAATGAAGCTGTTAAGATTGCTTTTAACATAGTGTCTTGTACATCTCATTGCTACAATGGGTCAACCTGTATCTTTTTTTCAGCATTTCACTTCCCCTACCCAAATTGGAAAAATATACATATAAGAAGCAGGGCACAGGAATCAAATACGGTGAAAACAGGGGTTATACCACAGTGGAAGAACAAAAAAACCCACAAATAGTACATTATGAGTACATTAAAAAAATACAGCAAGACAGATAAAATCTCTGTGTCCCTATATTGGGGTCATTTTGCTTAGCATCATCTTGTATGGTCATAGCTTTTGACCGTTTCTTCTTGACCTAGACATATACTAGGTGATGCAAATAAGGGAAACCATAGGACCTGTGTTTCTTTGGGCCTGGCTTACTTCACTTAATATAATTTTTTCCAAGTCTTTTCATTTCCTAACACAAGGTGTGGTGTCATTCTTTCTGATGAAGGCATAAAAGTCCATTGTGTGGGGGGGGGAGGGGGTGTTTATACCAAATTTTCTTGATTTATTCATCTACTGAGGACCATCTGGGTTGGTATCATATCTTAGCTATGGTGAATAATGCTGCGATAAGCATAGTTGTGCTAGTAGCTTTAGTGTGGCTTTGTTTGTGATTCTTTGGGTAAATTCCCAAAAGTGGGATTGCTGGGTCATAGGGGAGCTCGATGTGTAGTCTTTTGAGGAACCTCCATACTGCTTTCCAAAGTGGGTGAACAAGTTTACCACCCACCAACAATTCAGTAGGGTTCCCTTCTGTGCACATCCCCTCCAGCATCTGTTGTTATTAGAATTCTTGATTTTAGCCATTCTAACTGGGGTGAGGTGGTATCTCAATGTTGTTTTGATTTGCATTTCTTTTATGGCTAGAGAAGTTGAGCATTTCTTCAGTGTCTATTGCCCACTCTCATTTCTTCTTCAGAGAGGTCTCTTTTTATGTCTTTAGCCCACTTGTTGAAGGGGCAGTTATTTCTTTGAAGATTTGTTGTTGGGGCTTTATTTTTTTAATTTTTTTTTTTTTTTGGGTCCGGTTGTGGGGCCTAAACTCTGGGCCTGGGCGCTGTCCCTCAGCTCTTCAGCTCAAGGCTAGCGCTCTACCACTTGAGCTACAGCGCCACTTCCGGCTTTTTTTTCTTTTTGCTTATGTGGTGCTAAGGAATCGAACCCAGGGCTTCATGCATGCAAGGCAAGCACTCTACCACTGAGCCACCTTCCCAGCCCCTATTTTTTTAAGTTCTAAATATGTCTTAGGTATGACACCTTTGTCTATCATATGGCTAGTGAAGATCTTCTCCCAATCCATGGGCTTTTTATTGATCCTTTGCCATGCAAAAGATCTGCAATTTCATGCAATCTCATTTGTCCAAACTTTCTTTGATTTGTTGTGTTTCTGGGTCTTTATTAAGAAAATTCAGCCTGTGCCAACGAGTCATAACTTTTCTTCTATTCCTTCCTGTCATGTTTTCAGGGTGATTGCTTTTACTTAGAAGTCTTTGATCTATTTGGAGTTGATTCAATTGGAGAGTGATATGTACAGATCTAGCTTTAGTTTTTCTACAGGTGTTTAACCAATTTTGCCAGCCCCATTTACTGAAGAGGTTGTTTTTCTTCCATTCCATTTTTTAGCTCCCTTATGAAAAATAGCTCTGTGGGTTCATTTCTGTGACTTCAGTTCTATTCCATTGGTCCTCATGTCTGTTCTTGTTCCAGTACCAAGCTGTTTTGATTACTATGGCTTTGTAGTAGAGTTTGAAATTCGGTATTGATAGTCCTCCAGCACTGTTCTTTCTGCGGGGGTTTTTTTTTTTCTTTTTTGCTATTTGGGGTCTTTAATTGTTCCATATGAATTTTTGGGTTGCTTCTTCTATTTCATTAAAGAATGAAGTTGGAATATTGATAGGTATTGCATTGAAGAGCTTTGGCAGTATTGCTGATTTCACAATTTTAATCTTCTCAATCCAGGAATTTGGGAGGCTTTTCCAGTTCCTTAGTTCTGCTTTAATTTCCTTTTTTGTTTTTTTAAAGTTTTCATCATAGAGATCTTTCACTTCTTTTTTTTAAATTTTTTTTTAAATTTTAAATCTTTTTTTTTTTTTTTGGTTCCGGTCGTGGGGCCTGAACTCTGGGCCTGGGCGCTGTCCCTCAGCTCTTCAGCTCAAGGCTAGCACTCTAACACTTGAGCCACAGCACCACTTCCAGCTTTTTTCTTTTTGCTTATGTAGTGCTGAGGAATCGAACCCAGGGCCTCAGCATGCAAGGCAAGCGCTCTGCCACTGAGCCACCTTCCCAGCCCCCTTCACTTCTTTAGTTAGGTTAACTCCTAGGTATTTATTTTTTTGTGGGGCTATTACAAAAGGAGTTGTTTTCCTAATTTCAGCTGCAGTCTTCTTGTTATTGGGATAGAGATAAGCCACTGATTTTTTATCATTAATTTTATACCCTGCTACTTTGCCAAAGTTTCTTTTCATCTTGAGTAACTTGGGGGTGGAATTCATGGGGTGCTTTAAATACAAGATCATGTTATCTGCAAAGAAGGAGAGTTTTACTTCATCTTTCCTTATTTAGATCCCCTTTTATGCTGGGTGATGGTGGCTCATGCCTGTAATCCTTGGTACTCAGGAGGTTGAGATCTGAGGATCCTAGTTCAAAGCTTGTCCTGGCAAGAAAGTCTGTGAGATTCTTGTCTCCAATAAACCAATAGAAAACCAGAAATAGTGTGTGGCTCAAGCAGTAGAGTGTTAGTCTTGAGGTGAAATGCTCAGGGACATTGCCCAGGCTGAGAGTTCAAACCTCATGACCAACAAAAACAATATAAATAAATAAAAGATTCCCCCCCTTTATGTTTGTATCTTGTCTTATTGCTCTAGCTAGGCATTCTAATATTACATTGAAGAGAAGAGGAGAGAGTAGACATCTTTGTCTTTTTCCTGAATTTAGAAGAAATGGCTTTAGCTTTTTGCCCTTAAATATAATGCTGGCTGTAGATTTGTTATACATAGACTTTATTATATTGAGGGATGTTCCATGGATTCC